TAGCCAAGGAAACAGCAACACTACAGCAGGTCACCTGTGTCTTCATAAACAGTGGTTTGAGACACAACCATACTTGTTGGGTTATATAATATCTATAGTTGTTTCCATGTTATAAAAGCAGAATTTATTTTCAACCCAGTTGAAAGTCCCAAAAAGTTCAAAATAATTTATTATTTGGCCCTTCACAGAGAGTGTTTTGCTGGTCTCTGTTCTAGTGTAAGTTCCACAATTCCCTGGTCTCCCCACCCTACCCTCTGCCTCCAAACCTTCCCTGTACTGGAGATTGAGCCCAGGACCTTGCACATGCTAGGCATGTGCTCTACCACTGATCTATGTCCCCAACCCCTTCCATCCTTCTTTCACACCTTAAAAGCCATTCTAGCTGGGTGCGGTGGCCCATGCCTCCCAAGTACTTGGGAAGATGAGGTAGGAGGATAGCATGTATGAGGCCACCTGGAAAACTTAGCAATACACTGTCTCTAAATAAAAAGGGTTGAGTACATAGCTTGATAGTAAAGTGATTGCATAGCATGCACAAGGCCCTGGCTTTGATCCACAGAAAAAAAGAGAAGTAAACAAAGGAAGAAGGGAAGGAAGGAAGGAGAAAGGAAGGAAGGGAGGGAGGGAAGAAGGGAGGGAGAGAGGGAGGAGGGAGGGAGGGAGGGAAGAAAGATAATCATGGCTCACTGTTGTTTATTGCTTTATGGTGTTTGTATATATTGATTCTCCTTATTTTACTGTGAAGAGATTGTGAACAAGAACTGTGTCATACGGTCACTATTTTATCCTTCGTCCATCTCCCATAATAAGTAACATACTGAATTATAAATGTGTGAAATAAAACTCACCTTACGGATTCCTGTCACATCTATTACATTTTAATGAACTAATTCTTTGGCTTTGTTTTGTTTGTGGAAAAGTGGTGTCAAGGATATTCTTGGAGCATGTCCCATCTCCCTATACACATGCTCACTCAACATATCCATTTTCTCAAACTCCATGATCTTGGAACTTTCAATTTAGGGTTACAAGTTAACATTGTACCTTTTAATCCTTCTATCACACCACAATAACACAGTAAAAATGCTCTAGTTTTGTGCTACCATTAGATTATAAAATTTCTGAGAACAGAATCTCATTCAATTGGAATTGGTGCATTAATGCAAACTCATAGTTTTTAATCTATACAGAGAATTACAGAAAAGTATAGATGGAAAACTCTCAAGGTGCTGTGGGAGCAGTCACTCCACCCACCACTCCTTTTACCCCTCTTGGCCAGATCCATGTGCATGTGTGCACACAGAGGCATTTTTTTTTGACAATGTTATAAATGTATGTGTATACATGAGTATGTATACACATACATTATATGAGTGTGTGTGTGTACATGCATATATATATTCTCTAGGTCTGTCCATTTAGAAGACCCTAGGAGCAATGACACACCAGTAGCAGTGAGCATTCTAAACACCCAGATGTTGGTTTGTAAATACCATCCTCCACAGGAATGAACAGCAGCTGGCCCCAGGTCTGGCAAAGTAATTATACGGTGAATCTGGAACTTCTGTGGGGTCTCATTCATGCTAGGCAAGCTCTCTAATTTTGAACTACATCCATAGCCACTTTTAAATTTTCTTTTGAGTCATGCTATCTCTACTCTGCCAGGTTGTCCACAAACATGTGATCCCCCTGCCTCAGCCCACCGAATAGGTGAAATTACAAGTCCTGCCACCATGCACATTAGTATCTGGAACTTCTAGCAGTGCTAAGGAAGTCCTCAAAGAATTAGGGGATAAGTCAAAATAAAAAAGGACAAAGGGAACTCACTTGGAAAG